TGTACTGCTGGTTATCCATATCCCAGTCATTTCCAGGGAACGTGCCTATATACCGTGGACACGTCAAAAGACGGTCACGGTTCACCCAGTCCATGACCCCTCATCATGCCATGTCAACACGACCTGCCTCTCGCCATCCTCGATATTTGCTGCTGTGAATTTGCTTGAGCTCGTCGCAATTCGATTTGCGGCCCGCTGTTGTCTTGGTTGTGTCGCACTGAGGCTGAAGGACTGGGAATGCGCTGAGCCCGCCGACCGCGAGACACAGCTCCCGTCCCGAATACCGAGCCCCATCGGTATACAGAAAGCCCTCGTGGCCCCCAGACGAGACATCTTCAACTCCAAATCTCAATTCATCCAGCCGAATCCGACTTGTTGGTTCATCATCCCGTCTACCCCACACCTTGGTATCTCCAAATCTGTCCTTCCAGAACGTTTCAACTCCTCCACACCATGTAAGCGATACTGGGAAAAGAGCTACTTGAGCAGAAGAGGCATTGACGCTGACCAAGTTTTACCGTCAGAGCCTCGTTTATTTCGAACCCATACCTAGGCGTCGCGATCGAGATCTAGCCTTTTCTCCCTTGGTCGGTCAGTGCTTCAACGGTTTGCCCAACAGCAGCCCGCAAGTCCACAAACATAACCCGAAACAAATCACCGTCGGTTATCAACTGTACCTATTCGTCAAACCAATCCACACGCGCCGTGTCATCTAATCATCTGCGCTGGAGGAAACAGACTCCCCAAGCTCCGTGCTACCCCATTACCGGGCCGTCTACCTTCCCCTCGCGAGCCAAGAGTGAAAACTGGACGAAGCGAGGAACAAGCGATCGCATAAAACTGACCTCCAACTGTTGCGTTTCTGTTGTTTCGGTGTGGGGAAGACGTGATTTTGGTGGCTATAGCATGAAGAGTTCCCGCCTAATTTCGATCTAGCCGGCCATTTCAATAATCTAGGTACGGCATTGCGGGACAATAGACGTCATTCGGGGTCGCAATATCTTATTGAAACGGAATTTGGAGCGCCGGAACCTTTTAAATAGCTCTCAACAGGAACCGCCTTCCTTTCGGCTTCTGGGAGGGCTTCCTTCCGCCCTGCCCGAGACGCCATGCGACGGAGTAGGACCCCACCTCCCGCGGCTTCGCCATACCGGGCCCTGGCACACCACCATGCGCACCATGGCGCGGCTCAGGGAGGACAGGCGCGTGACTCGATATCCTCTGTGATAAGGTCGTTCAATGTGGAAACCAATCCAACGCGACCTATGCGCCCCTCGCCGCTCACGGCCTCAACTATCCCAGATATGCCACTTGAGCTGGTCGACCGAATCAGATCATTTCCTCTTTTCATGTCCGCTCCTGATGATTTCCTCGCAGCCATTGGCGCTCACCTCAAGTTACAAACGCATTCCGCTCACGACCACATTCTCACCGAGGGAGACGAAGCAAAAGCCATGTATTGGTTAGTTCGCGGCATCGTTGCCGTGACTTCTCGTGATGGAGAGGCCGTTTATGCGGAACTTAAACCTGGTGCCTTCTTTGGAGAGATTGGGGTTTTGATGGATATGCCTAGAACAGCGACAATCATTGCCAGAACCAAATGTATGCTGGCAGTGCTGAAGAGAGAGGACCTCCAGGCCGAATTGCCCAAATACCCGGAAATGGAGAAAGCAATTCGTCAGGAAGCGCAAGAAAGACTCACAATTCTGAGGAAGAAACGGCAGGAAGGTGGTCAGAACTTCAAGATACCGGATATCAATGGGTCAACTCTTGCACGAGAGATGACGCCTGGAGAAGTGACCAAGGGCGATACCGGAAGCATTCAACCAGGAGCAAGGGCAGCTTCTGTGAACACCAAGAAACGGAAGTCTCCAAGTCCGAGTTTAATCGAGGATCCGACCGTCAGCGGAAGCGCTCTCGGCAGTGGTCTGGTGAGCGTTCGCAAGACCCTCAAAGAGCTCCCTCTGTTTGCAAAACTCGACAGTGAAGTTCTTCATATCCTGGGTCTCAGCGCACAGCCCAAATCCTATGCACCGTTTACCGATATTGTACGGCAAGGTAGCCCAGGGAATGAAATATTTTTCATCGTGCGGGGCGAGGCGGAGGTTATCAAAGAACCCTTGAGCCCACCGAAGAGGAGGACTACGAGATCATCTTATGCACGACCGCGCCTCGGGCCTGGACAATATTTTGGTGAAGTTGCGAGTCTTGGACTTGCCGAGGAAAGAACCGCTACCGTGCGTTCAATCACCGCCGTCGAGTGTCTTGCGATTGGTCATGACTCCCTGGAGAAGTTGTGGAAGATTCCCGAGATCAAGGCCCAAGTGGAAGAGACCGCAAGAAAACGGTATCGCACTCAGGAGGAAGTGAAAGCCAAGGAAGAAGTAAAGGCGCAGGTAGAAGAGGAGGAAGACGTGGAAATGCGGGATCCGGAAAGTCATGCGCTGTCGGACGATGAGATGTCGTCAACGTCAACACCGACGCCAACTGTCACGTTTACAGTTCCTTCAAAGCCCGGCTCACCCACAAATGATGAGTCAAGGACTAGGCAGCCGTCAGATCCCGACCCATTTTTGAGTGTGGATATGGAGAACTTGCGAAATCGACGGCGTAATTCACTTGCACCTCCGGTGCCACAAACAGACAGCTCAACAATTGTCAGTGTTGCGAAAACATCGAAGAGCACTGCTCCATCCCCAACCCCACAGCAGGACGATTCTCCTCTTCCAGCCAAACGCGCACGAACTTTACCTCGAAACAATGTAACAAGGCGAGGTAAACAGGGAAAGCCGGAGTTCTCCGACACCTTCTGGATCTCTGTGTTCCAAAATCTGGATATCATCGAGCTGATTCGACTAAAAGCTGTTTCACGAAAATGGCGCGATTTATTAACAACAAGTCTGGAATTGTGTACACATGTCGATTTGGGTCCTTTCAACAGCAAGGTGACGGACTGGTCCGTAGTCAATATCATCGCGCCTTTTATTGGCAATCGTCCAGTGGCAATGGACATCAGCAACTGCTTTCACATCACGGACGAAGGGTTCCAGGCGCTTTACAGAACATGCGGCAGGAACGTCAAGTCCTGGAAAATGCGAAGCGTGTGGGAGGTTTCTGCTAGCCAGATCCTCGAGATGAGTGACAACGCCAAAGGCCTGGAAGAAGTTGACTGGTCTAACTGTAGGAAAGTGGGCGATAATCTTTTGGTCAGAGTGGTCGGATGGGTGGTTCCTGAACCACAACCGCCAAGGGATAATAAGAATGTCGTTATTTCGAGTTCGAATTCGAAGGGAAGGAGGGCGTCTCAGTTTCAACAACGACAACAACAGCAGCAACAGCAGCAGCCTCCACCGAATCAGCCTCCTCCTGGGACGGTTATTGGATGCCCGAAGTTGAAGAAGCTGAACTTGAGTTACTGCAAGCATATTACCGACCGGTCAATGGCGCATCTGGCTATACATGCTTCGAGAAGACTGGAGTCGTTAGAGTTGACTCGGTGTACGAGCATCACGGACGCCGGATTCCAGCAGTGGGTGCCGTACCGATTTACGCAACTGACGACGTTGGTCCTGGCTGATTGCACCTACTTGACTGATAATGCTATTGTGTCACTGGTGAACGCGGCAAAGAATCTGAAGAAGTTGGATCTAAGCTTTTGCTGTGCTCTTTCGGACACAAGCACGGAAGTCGTGGCGCTGGGATTACCGGCGCTCCGGGAGCTGAAGCTTGCTTTTTGTGGGAGCGCGGTTAGTGATGCCAGTTTAGGATGTGTTGCTCTTCACTTGAATGAGTTGAGAGGGTTGAGCGTTAGGGGGTGCGTGCGGGTTACGGGGAATGGGGTTGAGAATGTGCTCGAGGGGTGTGGGAGGCTGGAGTGGTTGGATGTTAGTCAGTGTAAGAACCTGCAGGGGTGGGTTGACGGGGGAGGAGTTAAGAGGTGGGGGTTTGATGAGCGAGTGGTTACGGGCGAGAGGGGGAGTGTTGCCGAGGAGAGGGCTTTGGCTATGAGAACTGCTGGTGATGGGAGTGGTAGTGGGAATAGTGGTGAGAGTAAGGCCAAGGGGGGGAAGATCGGACCTGGAGGGGTTGGGTATGGACATGGACATGGGCAGCAGCAGGGTCCGACTATGGGACATCAAAGAGGGGGTTTTAATACTCCTGGTGGTAGTGTTTCAAGGTCTGGACAAGGGCCTGTGATGAGGCCTGTGATTCCACCTAGGGGGGCACCGCCAAATAGAAGGGTGAGGAAGCCGGTGAGGTTTATTGTGCAGAAGGGTGCTGGTGGGTTGAGGTGATGATGATGAAAAAGTTGGGTTTTTCCCCCTTCTTCTTTTTTTTTCTCATTTCATGAGGTAATGATTTATGATGAACCAATGAAGGGATTCTTGGATATCTTATCGGTAAATATGCTTGTTCTCTTTGAGCAAGGGGGCTGGGGTAGGGTGGGTGGTTATTTTACATATCATTTTATGGTGCTGTACATACATCATGATGAGACTTCCAAGTGGACATAGACCAGGAGGGATTCGTGGTATTTTATTGTGTTGGTTAGATCTTTGTGATGATGTAAATGGGTGTTGTCGGAAAGGAAATGAGATTCGGAAGCAATGTTGGTTGGATAAAAAGCGATAAATGGAGGGAGGGGGATGTGGCTCGTGACTATGTATTACGGCTTGATACCCCTGGTTTCTCATTTCATGTCTATATTTTTTGTTTTTTTCCTTGGTTGATGTTATCTATGTAAAAAGATGTTCCTTTCTTTAGAAGAATCAAAGTCTTTCTTTAGAAGAAGAAAAGTGTAGTAATGAGGGCAGGCCCTTTCTCTTTCCACTTTTGTCTTTTTTTTCTTCTCCTTCGTACTCCATGAAAAGAGAGGGGATCATAGAAGGTAAATGCAAAAATAAAACCCCACAGAAAAGCAAGGACTAAATATTAAACCAACACTTCAACACTTCAACCTGATAGCAGAATACGAGAGAAAAGAGAGAGACAAAATAAAAGGCCCGACGTGGGACTCGAACCCACAGCCTTAAGATCACGATTGTCTTCCCTTATTTACTTATTTCCTTATCAGGAAATTATCAGAGAGAAAAGTAGAAGTCTTACGCGCTACCATTGCGCTAGCCGGGCTGGCTGTGTTTTTTCTTCTTCTTGACAACAAGAGATGGTTTGTCTGTTGAAAAAGACAATCTGGTAATGTACTGAACTAATAATGTTTGTGTGTGAGTGAGTGTGTGGGAACAGAAAAGAAGAAAACCAAGGTTGGGCGCTGTTTAGTCTAAACTTTGAAGGGATTTTTTCCATGGGAAGTGGATTGGATAGATGGATGGATGGATGGATGTGTGGTCGCTGCTGTGGAGTTTGCAGGTTTTGGTGGAGTTTTGCGCTTGGTGGGGTTGGAGTGTTTTTTTTGGAGGGGGTTAATTACTTTGACCTTTAGGATTGGTTGTACATAATGTAGGGAGGAGGACTGTTGATTGTGTGAAGAGTGAAATAGATTTGGGTAAAGCAGGAAAATTCAGTGAGGTATGTGTTTTGTGTTGATAAGAGCCATGAAGCTTCATTGCCCAGTTGTCAACCTTTCTGGTGAGGCACATTTACGGGCTGTTTAGAATGTTAGCGTTCGCCCCTGGTGATTGGTCCAATTGCCATGCCAATGCCCAGAATCAAGTTCGAAAACAAAAGGGGGCTATGTTCGGCTATGTTAATTCTTCTCATCAGGGTTAAAAAGTGACTCATGAAAAGATCAAGAGGGGAAAGGTTGCAAGTGTTCTTGTTTTTATTTATCAACTTGAACTTCCCCCTGAAACTGAGAGCCTCTGCTTTGCTGGAAGTCTCGGCTCCTGACTCGTTGGTGTCTTTCACTGTTTAATTACGTTCTCATCCTTCGCTTTGAAGATCTGATCAGATACAGTATGGCTGCCTCTAGTGCCCCTGTGGTGAGAGTTGGTGTTGCGGCGGTAATTCAAGATGGCAAAGGAAACATTGTCCTGGGTGTGAGGAAGGGGTCGCATGGAGCTGGTGCGTACCGTTTGTCTGGACCTTGATTCCCGCTGCTAACCGTCTTTTTTGATTGCAGGGACCTGGCAGTTTCCCGGCGGACACCTCGAGGTCGGCGAAAGCTGGTCTGATTGTGCAGAGCGGGAAACGCTAGAGGAGACAGGACTTGTTGTCAAGGCCGAGAGGTTCTTGGCTGCGACGAACGACGTCTTTGATCCGGCAGGAAAGCATTACATCACCATTTTCATGCTATGCAAGAGGATTGATGAAAACGCTGAACCTCAGGTACGTGTTTGTTGCCCTGCAAAAAAAAAAGAGAGCATGTGGATGTTAATGTGTTTTGTTGGTGCAGGTTCTCGAACCACACAAATGCGAATCCTGGTCCTGGAAAAGCTGGTCTGACGTCAGGGGCTTGGTCCAAGATGAACACGGAGGACAAAAAGTTTTTCTGCCTATAGTGAATCTCCTCAAGGATCATCCCGATATTGACAGCCGTGTTTAGAGTGGTTGTTGAGATCCACTCTCTCGAACAACGTGTCAAACGGTTTACTCATCAGGTATCTACATGTATTTTGGTGCAGATACGGAGCCTATAGCATTGAATAATTGGTGTTTGCCGATCGGCTTGGCGATGGGAGATGCTGGAGATGGTGGCATTCTCGACTTCAATCGATGATGATACAGTCGCCCTGAAACAAACCCATTCTGCTTGGTTGTCCGATCTTTGATGGACATTCTAGACGCAGCGGAGACTTTGTCTGAATTGAACTCTTGTGGATACTTGAGATAAAGAGAGCGCAGGCTTTCCGAGAGGATTCCGAAAGCCGACGATGTGATTGGGTTATGGTCCAGCCATGCCGAAAACGGAGGATGAAACAGTGCAGATGTTCTAAACCGATGTGATGTTGATCTAAGCTTTCTGGAGGCCCGGTGACAGGCAAGGACTAATTAAACCCTTTTAGTCCCATGCGCACTTTGAACGGGATCAGACACCGCCTGTTTAATAAAATCTCTTCATCGAAAAGTTCTGAGTGGACCTCTCAGTCTCTGCCTGTCAATTATACTGGGCGCATGACCGCTTATTCATCAACAGCAAGACAAGAAATTGATTGTTGTTGAATGATGGAAGCTTTTGGACCATCGAAAAGACGCTGAAACGTCGAGCTAAAACAGCTTTCTAGAGGATCGTAGAATCTGGTCCAGTCTCCTTTTTAAACTTCCAGGGAACTTGATCCAAAGGAAAGGGCCCCTGATCATCCCCTGGGCCCAAAAGGAAAAAGGGCGGCGGGTGTCTGCGGGAAGGGAAGCACAGACCATGGCTTTTCTTGGGTTGAGTCGTCGTTGAACCCCACTTTCGCCTCCAGTAGACAAGGTCTTTGATTCCTTCCATCTTCAACTCACTCACTTCCACCATCGCCAAAAGCCTATGAGTCGGCTGCCGGTGCCGAGATCCCTTTCGTACATGTCGCATGGCATGTCGAAACCAGTAGCGTTAAGAAGAAGAGCAGAACACGACGACGACAAAAGGTGACCAACCACCCAGCTATTCAACAGCCCTATCCCTCCCCTGGAACTCGCTGGACTCGCTCAACCGAACCCCGCCAAAGACACAATTCGAGTGCCACCAAAGACCCGCATCCCCCATTTCCCATCTGCGCCATGCCTGGAGACGGAAACATGAGTGCAAAGGGCTTTGCATCCGCAGACAGCCCGAGTACGGACGTTGGATCCATGACCAGCGCCGCCCAGGATGGCTACGACGCCCAGCAGATCAGGGCCCTCGCCCGCCACCCTCCTCCCGGCGCCTCTGTTTACTCTCCTACTGCCATTGTCTCGAGTGCCTTGAATCCGCGCAGCTGTGTGACTTGCAGGAGGAGAAAGGTTCGCCTCTTAATCTTTCTATTACCTCCTTAAACCTCTGGCCCGGAGTTGTGACTAACAGACATACCAAAGGTCCGTTGCGATAAGCATATGCCTTGTTCCAATTGTCGTCGAGCGCAAATACCATGTATCTTCCCGGCACCCGGCCGTGCGCCTCGCCGCCCGCGCCCCAAGGACCCGAATGCGCCACCAAAACAGCCATCAAGTGAAAGAGAGCAGGAATTGATGAAGCGCCTGCGGAAACTGGAAGGCATCGTGGAAGAACTGAGCGGTCAAATCGAGCTAGAAACTGTGCGTCCTCCCTACAGCACCGGCAATTCTCCCGAGGGAACGACTGTATCTGGTGGCCATGACCAAACACCTGGAGGAAGGCAGCCCACTGCAGGAAACTTTAACAACTTTGCTCAGGGGTTAACCTCCGCCGCTGCATCCCCGGATCCGCCGAACCCGCCGAACCCGCCGAGAACAATCTCAGGAAATGTCTCCGAGGCTGACAGAACGCAGAGAAACTCTCCGGACGTACACAAACAGTTTGGACGGTTGATGCTCAACGAAAAGGGAGGCACGCGCTACGTCAGTAGTGGTCTTTGGTCCAGCATCACAGATGAGCTCGACGAGCTGAGAAACGAGTCCGAAGAGTACCAACACCACGACTCAGAGGATTCAGATGACGAAGCTACCCCTGATTCGGCCGACCACATGGGACACTCATTCACAGACCATCATTCTTTTATTCTAGGATACCGCTCTTCGGATGTGGATCTTCGGCCTCTGCACCCATTGCCATCGCAAATTCCTTTCATGTGGCAGGTGTTCCAGGAGAATGTCGACCCGATACTAAAGGTTCTCCATGTTCCAACAATGAGCAAGCTCATCCGGGAGCTCCGCAACAATTTTGACAGTCTCACCCCTTCGACGGAGGCACTAATGTTTGCAATCTACTATGCCTCCATCACCTCACTAGACGAGGATCAGGTATGTCGATCCATTGGCCAGTTTTAGCTTAGCTTCTTTGCTCACATGTTTCCAGGTGAAATTGAGTCTCGGGGCCAACAAAGATGCTTTGCTTCTTCAATACCGCTTTGCCCTTGAGCAAGCCTTGGGCAAGGCGAACTTCCTCACAGCTCCTGATCTCGAAGTCGCCCAAGCCTTTTTATTGTTCTTGGTTCTTGTTCGGCGCCACGACGATACAAGATTCGCCTGGACTTTGACCGGGTTGCTCATCCGTATTTGCCAGGCCCTTGGTCTCCACCGCGACGGGACCCACTTTTCCAATCTTACCCCTTTTCAGATTGAGATGCGACGTCGACTCTTCTGGGCTGTCTGTGTTTTGGACCTACGATCAGCCGAGGATCAGGGGACCGATCTCACCGTCGTCGAGGAGACCTTTGACACCCAATTCCCTCTCAACATCAACGATGCCGATATCTCGCCTGATTCGAAGGTCCTCCCCGAGGCCCGAGAAGGCACATCCGACATGACCTTCTCCATCATCCGATATGAGATGTGCACATTGGCTCGTCGCCTTCACACCATGTCGTCAGCGATGGCGGTCATATGTCCACGAGATTCGGGCAAGTTCTCTTTGGAAGAAAGAGAACAGATGTTGGTGGACGTTCTCCAGCACGTAGAGGACAAGTACCTCAAGAATAGCACGGATCCCATGTATTGGGCTGCCGCCAACATTGCTCGTGTTATTGTTGCCAAAATGACGCTCGTCATCTACCAGCCAGTTCTGTTCCCTGGTGCTGGCAACGAGTATCTCTCACAAGCAATACGGGAGCGTCTCTTCAATGCATCTCTCGAGGTGTTTGAATACACTCATATCCTCAATACCGACCCTCGATGCAAGCAGTGGCGTTGGCTGTTCCAAACATATAGTCAATGGCACGCAGTTGCATACACTCTTATCGAAGTGTCGCATCGGCCTTGGGGTCCAAAGGCTGAGCGTGCCTGGGGAGCCCTCAACCTGAGGTTTGCAGCACCTAATTCTGTGGAACTCGAGAGGCTTGCAAGCCACCATGCAGTTTGGGTGCCGCTGAAAAAGCTACACGACAAGGCAAGAAAACATCGCGAGTCAGAAATCCTCAGGTTACGGGATAACCCGCAAGCTGCACAGGAACTGGAACTTGAAGACAGATGCGGCTTAGCTCCAACCAGTCTGAGGGCAATTCCTGGTTCACTTAAAGGTGTTGTCGCGCTTGAACGCTGGCGGAAGCTGGTTAATGCACCTCCAATACCAGAAGCTT